ACTAAAACTCATATTAACTCATTTTCCCCTTACCTTTTATTAATATGCCTTATATATTATACAATTTATCTTCCACAACATACTTGCCAATTTAAAATGATTCCAGCATGAGTTAGCTCGCTGACTACATCGACTTTTTAAAATATTTGCTTCTCTTTTGAGTAATTTCAAATATAAAATGAAAATAGCTTACAATGATTAAGCAAAAAAGTCCTCCTTCAATATTCAAGTCATCTAGTAGGACTTGATTAACTCAACATTCACAGTCTTATACTCAGAAAGATTCATAAATATTATTTATAAAAGGGATCCTGGAGATCATCTAATTATATTATTATACTTTATATATACATAGTATATATATTATACTTTATATATATATATATATTTCTGAATCTGAGATCCAGAATTAATAAAGTGATTTTTGATAATGCTGAGTGATCGTTAAGCGTTCGATTTTGGTCTATAACAATTAGTATTATAGTATATCAGTTCTCAAACACAGTATAAGAAATTAGTCCAAAACTTAGCAACAAAACCCACACACATGTACAACTTCATACATGTCATATAGTTTCTTTGGGTCATGAATTCCAGAGTGGCAGGCCTAGTTTATTCTGGCACATGGCACTTCACGAGGTTGCATCAAGATGTTACAGGGGGCTACAGTCATTTGAAGGCTTGACCGGGGCCAGAGGATCTGCTCCCAAGCTCACTCACATGGCTGCTGCCAGATTTCAGTTCCCTGTCAGAAGGATCTTTCTTTCACAGAGCTATTTTAGTATCCTCATGACATGACAGCTGGCGTACCACCAGAACTCATGAGCCAAGAGAATAAAATAGGAGCTAGAACCTATTGATGAAACAGCTTAGAAAGCCATACTCCATCCAATTTACAATTTCCTATTAGTGATACCAGACATTTTTATTCGCTGTAGGAGAGGTGTACACAAGGGCATGAAAGCCAAGAGGTAAGACTCTATTGAAAGCCATCTTGGGAGCTGCTTACCACAGGTACCTTCGCACATCATACAATTTTAGCTCATAAGTAAAGAATAAATTTTAGATCTTTGGTTGTACATTACAATTCAGTTAAGTTTTTACCACCAATAATATATCTTATGTCTTCTAATTCCTTGATATTTTATTATTAAAACAATGTGTCATCTAGTAACAAGTTGAAAAATAGAGCTCAAAAAGTATAGTTCCAATAATCTGCAATGCTTTAACAAAATCAGCTTAGATCTCAATTGATATTTTTGACATTTACCTTAAAAAGATACTTTTTTTCAGAGACCTGAGAATTTTACATTTCAAATTTTTATTTTGTTAACTTAAAAGCATTTTTAAGTTTGTCTCCTCAGAAGACATATGCAGTCTTTTCTATCCACAAAAAGTAAGATTATTTTTCTCAATAAACAGAATACATGATCTATATCAGCATGTCACCTACATCCTAGAGATCAATCAGTTCTCATGTTTGAGGTTGCCATGAACTTTAGAAATGAAGCAGGATGTGTATTAGCAGGGTTTTTTAATGTTAAAAAAAATGTTAACATTTTAAAATTTAGGAGTAAAAACGGGATTTTAGTTAAAATTTAAAGAAAAAAGTGATATTTAAAATCAGTCCTTACTGATGGATAATTTCAAAAAACATGAAATTGACTATACTGATAGAAAGATTCCTTCTTTCTCTTATCTCCCACCACTAAAAATATCTGCTCTATTAAATGTAAGAAATTACATGATGTGAAAGTCTTATTACTTATATAATCACTAATAGCTTATTGAAATAGGACCTTAATAACTACTCTGGCAATTTTAAGGTATATTAAACTACTCAAGTAATTGTAAGCTAATGGTAATACACATTAGTTATTACTAAAAGTAAGGCAGAAGTAAGGACTCTCCAGTTCTGGAGCCAAAATCCACCCTCTGATGAGTTTAACATAGTTTATTATGAGTTTAATAAAGCTTATTCTTTTCACATAATACTAAAATGAAGCATATCTTTAAATGACTTTAATGGAAAAATTCTTGAAAACTCCAGGGTCAGTCTATCTATAGAAGAATGATGCAGGTGTATCTGTCTGTGAGATGTGTCTCAATGCATTTTCATCTGAGTTTCTGAGTCCCTATGAAGCCTTGGCATGCCTCCTTTCATGGGATACTTTCAGCCCTTCATTAGTTACTTAAGTCCATTTCATCCCAAAAAGTGCCTAAAGTAAATAAGTCTGGCATTCATACATAGGGTTTGGATGGATGGATGGATGGATAGATGGATGGGGTGGAGGACTCTCTATGTGAGTGTCTTTAATGAGTTTGCCTCTGTTCTTCTTGGTCTACATTTTCTAGGTCTACCTGTGTCTTTCTGAGTTAAACCATTTATTTTTATGCATCAGTATTATATCTCATCTCATTCCAAAGAAGATTTGAGGCAGCTGCATTACCCTATATGCACAACTTTCTGTATGTCATGTCTCAACCTCTGTATCTCTGCATTTGTCTTTCCCTCTCTTCTTCCCACCTCATTTCAAGATATAAATAACCTTATATATAATCATTGGTTCTTCTTTTTATAACCTTTATTTTAAAAAACTTTATCTCATTATTCATCATATAAACTTCCACATAGTCATATCATCAGTTCTGCCAAGTTTCCAAAAATTTGACTATCCTTTTAGTGACTACAGGGCACTTTAACAGCACCCCCGCCGAGTCTCAAATATATCACAACTAAACTTTGCAGAAGTATGCTTCTTAAATTTCAGATCACAGCTCTGATCTCTCCAAGCTATTCAAAGATCTATTGCTGAAACTGAGGGTAAGTCTATTTCTAAAGCAGACCTCTCAGTGGTGCTGTTGGGTTATGGTTTACCATTACCATTTAATGAGTATAGGGAAAAATGGGTAATCAATACAGTTGCCAGTTAGATTGATCAAAATCCTCTTTTATAAGCTATGGAAATAATATTTCTGAAAATAAAAGATGGAAGGGGTGGGTGGAGAAAGTGGCTAATGTTTTAAAAGACATCTAAGGCTCCAATCTCCTACCCTTACTGAATTAATTGTGTTTATGGGTAGCAGTTTGTGACAGATTAAAGATAGTGGTAAATTTTTTGGCATTTCTTTCATGGAAAAGTACATTCTAAATCTCTTCTCTGTTAATCTGCCTTGGTCTTAATGACTAGCTGGACCACAAGAATGCAATGGAAGTAAAAGGATGAGATTACTGAGGCCAAGGTATAGATAGCTGTTCAGTTTCCTATCTTTTTTGAAATATTGTCTCTGAAAGCCTTGTGCCATCATGTACAAAGCTAGACTAATTTCCCTGAGTCCACCATGTTGGAGAGGCCATGCTCTGGGAAACCATCCCAGCTGAGCCCTGCTTTCAGTCTCCCTACCAAGGTTCAGGACATGTGAATTAAACCATATTGGGACCTCCAGTCTAGCCCATTTTCCAGTTGAATACTAATGAGCAATCTCCATAAATAGATGTGCATAAAATAGAACACTCAGAAAAAAGTCAGGCAGAGGAAGACAGATACCATATGTTTTCACTCATATGTGGAACAGGAGAGGAGAAACTTAACCATGTGGACCATAGGGGAGGGGGAGGGGAAAAATAGTTCAGGATAGGGATGGAGGCAAACCATAAGAGACTCTTAAATAACTGAGAGCAAACTGAGGATCGATGGGGGTGGGGGAGAGGGGGTAATGGGTGATAGGCCTGGAGGAGGGCAATTGTTGGGATGAGCACTGGGTGTTATATGGAAACCAACTTGACAATAAAGTATATTTAAAAAAAATAGAACACTCAGCCAACTAAGCATGCCTAAATTCCTGACACAGACATGAGATACAATACAATGGTTGTTTTAAGCCAACTAAATTTTGTGGTTGTTTATTTTACAGAAGTATGTAGCTATGGCACCTTACTATCCTACATCCTACAGGCTCTCTCAGTCCATAACTTGCAAGTAAAATTTCAAATCCTTTCTTGATTTCCAAACAACACAAACATCCAACAGTCACATCTAATTTTCCTTCCTACGTACAATCCTGCTCCAAGGGTGGGGCAGGGAGGGAGAGAGAATGAAGATGGTTATCAATCCCTGCCATACTTTATGTGTATGACTTTTTTCAATAACAAATTTTATGAAAAATCAACTTGTTTCTACTGAGATATTTGAGAGCTACATTTAACCTATTGATCTCTCTATGCCTATATCTCCTTATGATCAATTCTTGTGGCTTTTGGCCTGTATATTAACTAGATTCCTTCTAGTTATCAAGTAAAAATTCTATACTTAGAAGAAAACTGGAAAATAAATTACTATATTGAGTTTCATACGATATAGACAATAAATATTTGCTTACTGATTGAATCTTTAACACAAAGTTCTCTTTCAGTGAATCTTTACTTATTTTTGTCTGTATTTTTCAGGTGTAGAGCAACAGAACATAAGGATAGTTGTGGTAACTTGTGGGGATGAGCACTGGGTGTTATGGGGAAACTAATTTGACAATAAACTATTTGTAAAAAAAAAAAAAAAAAGGATAGTTGTGATAAATGAAAACAGGAGAGTTCTGCCTTTTTCCACTACCAGAGATATCTCTTTGTTACTGAAACATTATATAATTTCGAGAAAGGAATTCCCCGGAGGTTACTTTTCAAGCATGACTATTTTTGTTTAAATTATAGACAAGAGAAAGAAAAACAGCTAGAGGCATAGCACATTCCATGGGACAAATCTTTTCACATCTAATAAACCCTAATGGAAAATATATGCATTTCCTCAAGAATGTACATGTGTACATATTGTGGAAAAATTATTTTCCACTCAGAGCCTCATATTGCCAGGACACTTTAATAGATACCTCCAGGAGGACCATTCACGTGTATTATTTCATGGAGCTGTGCCCCAGACCGTGGCATTCACACAGACATTAAATGGAGCCCCCTTGGATTGTACAAGCCAGAAGTACTTCCTCCGTACCTTCTCCCCACGTGTATCCTCTTCCATCTATGCCTTCTCATCACCTTCCAAGATAAGTTAATAGTTCTCAGCTTGTGCTCAGAAAAAGTAGTTTCATTCTCTGCTTTGGCAGGCCCTGTTTTGGAGTAGACTGGGATAAATTTTCTTATCAGAAGCACTGGTAGAGTCAATATTTTGGGAAATGCACCTTTCAGTGTAAAGCATTCCAGCTACCATTTACCTAGTGCAGGCTGAGAGTCAGGGGGCTTCCAGAGCTGCTAGCCTTAAGGACCACTTCAGCTGGTTGACATAAGCAAATCCATGATTTCCTTTCTTTTCTTTTCTTCTTCTTTTTTATTTTTTTTTTTGAAGCTTACCTCCAATAAGAAATATTTAATCAAAGGTTATACATGTGGAGGCATTCTTTTGGAGAAAAATAAATACTGAAATCAAGATTCCACATGTTGTTAGTTGGCATCCAAATGTCACCAAAACTGTTATCACTGAATTTACCTGCATTTTATGGCACTTTTCCATCTCAGATTTGATATTAGCAAGAAATATAAATCATCAGAGAACTTAGTTAATATTAAGATAATACATTAGAGGATTCCATTCAGCAAAGCTAAAGCTTGGCTCATAATGAACCTGCCTCTCGGTTATACGATGCCAAAATGAAATGCCAGAAACAGCTACCTTCTATTTCAGGACCGGGAGCCTCCTTCTAACAGTGACTAGTTGGCTGCTGGGAGTGCTTCAAAGTCATCGAACTCTGAACTCGACTTCAAAGTATAAGAAGATGGTGAAGTAGGTGGAAGGTAAGATATCACACAAACACACACACACAAACACACACACACACATACTTGGTTTGTTCTATTGTCCTCTCTCCTTCCTCAGACAACTAAAGTATACACTGAGTGTAATTAAGATCGAAGAATAATATTCACTGATTTTGTCCAGGACACTTTACTAAGCAGTACAATATCCTACAACATCCTAATTTCCTCTAGCTCCACACTAAATTTTATTTATTTTTTAATGTTTATTTATTTTTGAGAAGGAGAGAGACAGAGACAGAGCACAAGTTGGGAAAGGGCAGAGAGAGAGGGAAACACAGAATCTGAAGCAGGCTCCAGGCTCTGAGCTGTCAGCACAGACTCCAACATGGGGCTTGAACCCATGAACCACAAAATCATGACCTGAACCAAAGTCAGACACTTAACCAACTGAGCCACCCAGGTGCCCTCCACACTAAATTTTAATGTCCGTGGAGTCACCCTAATGACATTTCTGGGAAGTTATATTCCTTAATCACATACTATAGCTCAAAACTGGGCTATTTCCTTTCTCCATTTTTCTGCCTCCACCTAAGAAAATGACTCACCTGGTGACCCACAGCACTCTGGGTGCAACCTCAGAGTGTTGACCATATCTCCAAGGGCAGTAGCCCTACACATTTGTAGTATCAAATTACCCTAACCTCTTCCACAGGACATACTTTATTGACTTGAGAATAGGGCAGACAAAAAAAAAATAAATCTACATGCTAATTCCTGTTAACTGTAAATAACACTTGAACCACGGTCTGTCCATGCAGATATTCACCATTAGGCACCGGTGAGAACATATGTTGTCAGATTTCCCAAGATGGCCTTTTTCTAGGCCCACCACCAGAGCCCTGAGCATATAGTAGCTATACCGCTCCCTCCCCAGGATGAGTGAGTGTCTGAGTTCCTAGTATTTCGTCTCCCTCTTTCACTATTCTATCCCTAGTTTTCGGCCTCATAATGCCTTTATTTCTCAAACAAGCAAAAACTACTTATCTCCATTTTATAATGGACTATAATACTACATTAAAGCTACATTTTTATATAAAAAAAGTAAAAGGTCTATCAGAATTATTTGAGTCTCTAGGTCTGGGAGAGTTTACTACTCAAATATTTTGTGAGAGTAAATACTGTTACACCTTGCAGGGAATTTAGGAGAGACAAAGTAAATCCAATATGAGAAAGAAAAAGAGAAAAGCCAACAGCTCATTTTTCCTAAATATGTTGGCTGAAGGTCTTAACTGTACTTCTGAATATGACATATATCAGAAGTCCAAACTCCATATACCTATGCATAAAATCATGATGACTTTTCCCTTTGTTACTAAACAAAGGGTCCATTATGGGCTAAGTTACACTTCCCAAAGTTCCTGTGTTGAACCCTACTACCACAGAATGTGACTACTTAGAGATAGGGCCTTTAAGAGGTCATTAAGTTACAATGTGGCTATTACACTTGGCCTTCATCCAGTCTGACTGGTGTCCTTATAAGAAGAGGAGATTAGGACAGCAGAGACATCAGGAATGCTTAGTCACAAAGAAAAGATCACGTGAGGGCACAGTAAGAATAGATCCATCTGCAAACCAAAGAGAGAGAGACCTCAGGGGAAACCAACCTCAGGAGAAACCTACCAACATGTTGACCTTGGACTTCTAGCCCCAGAACCGTAAGAAAATAAATTTACATTGCATAAGACACCCTGTCTGTGGTATTTTGTTATGACAACCAAGCAAATTAATACAGGGTCCAAGGAAAAATACTCTTTCTAAAGTCTAGGTCTCATAGATGTCTAATATTTAAAAAACAAAAGAGAAAGAAGAAGAAGAAGACAGAAGTTTTACCTTTTTGGTCCCAGTCAACCAGTTCCCAGAGAGGGACCAATGTCCTCATTCAGAGGAAACGTTTCTTCCTCCAGAAACTACAGCAGCATCATGGAGATGAGTCATAAAGGCAATGTTCCTTCTCTTTCCTCTCCTGTAAGGAACATTTAAGTAAACATTTTCTCCCTTTGATAAAACTTCTCTGAAACACTTTATACACCAAACTTACACCTATGGCAGAAGTCTTCTCTAAGAATGCAGATGATTCTCAAGCAATTTTTACTCCTTACACTAGTATGCTGTTAAACCTCAGGAAAGCTCTTCAAAATTGACCAGCACTGTTCTGGTAACAAAATTTAATTATGTAAAATAGATGCTAAAATGTTAAACTTGAATTCTGGAATTCAAGATTGACTTATAGTCTAGTCAATCTCCCCAGTAATAATTCAACCTTGGCTTTGTACAGAATTTCTCTATTGCAGCACTTGGAAAAGTTTTATTAAGTTTAGATGAATCCTAAAAGCCTCTTGTGTTTTTATAACTCCACATCCCTTAGCCATTGCTGTTATTATATTTAGTTTTCTTATCAATGTTCATAATGTTCACTCTTCTGTTACTATTTGCCTTGTAGCGATGTGTACATATTGTTCTTTGATGAATCTTTAAATCCAAAAAAGAAAGTGTCTCTTTACAACTCCTCAAATATGGCAATTTATTCTTAGAAAATCTCAAAGGCACGAGCTGCTATTATCAACTTTCTCCAGTTAACATCACCTCTGCCAGCCATAAGCCAACTTCTACAAAAACTGAACTTGTAATCGTCACATCCATATATGTTGAGGGGACAGGGACACTGTAATATCTGTCCCTGGGATTATAAACTGCTTTCAGTTTTCCATTTTTAGTGGAACAAATGATGAACTTTGAGTGATCTCATATACCTCCCCTCAGAACTAGGCTTTAAATTGGGTCATCATTAATATAACAATTTGATAAGAACGTATATGATAAATTTGAATATATATACTAGCTAACAACTGGTATGTATTGCCCTACCATTTTGTTCTCTCAGTAGAGGAATCCTGTGCTTAACACCAAGCTCTTAGTTTTGTCAACTTAACCAGTAAACTAAGGAGAGATTGGAAAGTCTAGTTGATAATCTGAGTCCTTACAGAGAACGACTTGCAGAACTGGTCACCTGTGGAGCATCTTCTGGCCTGCAAGGTGCTAAGAAGGCCCCAGTTACAGCTGACCTGCCAGTGTCTACAGCTTCCTTTCAGAGGTCATTGCTTTGTAAGCCATGGCTTTGTATGTGGGAGGCCTTGTTAAAATCATATATTAAGCACCATCTGCCAGTACCCCCTCACCATCTAATTAGCCAAGTAATGTTTTCCATGAAAGTACAAAGGTGGGAGAAAAGCTATTGTTGCATAGCCTCAGGGGAGGGAGAGGCACAACTTGTAGCCATCATGGGGACAGCTTGAGAGAAGAGAGTGCCTTTGGTTATGATCCCAACAGAAAAAGAGACTCTTAGGAAACGAGTAAGAAGACACAACTCAAGTATTTTCCAACAGTAGGCACTACTTGTAAAGTTTACAAATAATTAACATGCTATATACCACTACAAATCTGCTTTTCTTATATTACTCAATCCATCGTTTGTTCCATTTTTCTAAATTCGGTGGCACACTTGTTAAGAGTGGGGTTTCTGCAGCCTTCCTCGTGAGAATATCCCATTTCTCATGTGATTATCCCTGATGTAATAGCTACACTCTAAACATTATGTCATTCTTATTATTGTACTCTGCAATACCCTATTAAATGTCTCCTCTCTTGTCTCAATATTTATAGCTTCCAAATTATTGCAGATTATCACGCTCTCCCAAGTAGCCTAGAGTAACTCTCAGTTCTGATCTGTTATCTTTCAGTAGTTGGGTGTAAATCACCTTCTTTGTCCACTAACTTTGAACGGATTTGCAAAACTATGAACTTACGGAAAGGCATAAAACGAAATCTTCTGACATACCTAATTAATTGGTCAGACATCTGTCTTTCAGTTTTAGTCTCTTTGCTTCTGGTAAAACTGAGGAGGAGTTCATAGCCACCTGGTGAGCATAGCCCTTCCAAACGAAGAATTAAGACTTTGTTTTCATCAGTCAACTCATTAAAGACTTGCAGAGATTGATTTGATAGCTAAGTGGCCCCTCTTTGAAATGTTATATATTTTGTCATCCCAAGGATCACACAAAACTCTGCTTGCCAAGCGGGCAGCTGCAGTGTTCAAGTGACGCCATCCCACTTACCTTGGTCACAGCTGGGACTCTCATAGAAACTGTCAATGTAGCAAGTTGTCAGAATAGTTGGAGAAGCTCCCTGCTGCTGCCATGTGTCCTTCTGTTCTAGTTTTCTAGCACAATGAAAATGTCAGCAATTCCTTTTACACCTGAGAGAGGACGCTTCAAGCTATTCTTTTCTCTTGTTTATTTTCCGTTGTCAATAAGACAAAGAACTGATAGTCTAATGTAAGAGTCCTAGGTTAATTCTATTTGAAAGAAAAACATGGCTACCTCTTGGAATCTACTGGCTATTTTAACATTTTATTTTTTTTTTTATTTCTAGGAGGGAGAGAGAGAGAGAGCATGAGCAGGGGAGGGTCAGAGAGAGAGGGAGTCACAGACTGAAACAGGCTCCAGGCTCTGAGCTGGCAGTCAGCAC